CAATAGAGCAGGTTGATTCTGTTTTGTTTTTTTTTGTTTTGTTTTTTTAAGAAAATCAGAATTGCACTTGGGATGGGGTTTGATGTGATAAGTCTTCACACCAAAAATTGGATTCATAGCTTTTACCAGTTTGTGAGCATTTAGGTTTAAAGATAGTCTGAAAAAAATGTACAGAAATACCTAATTTTTGCAAGGTTTTGTTTTTTTTTTTTTTTTTTTTTTTTTTTTTTTTTTTTTGTGCTTATAAACTGACTTCAAAATTTTACTATTTCAAGAATAAATCCAAATAAAGTTGATATTTTGTATTAGATACTTTAAATGGAAAATATATTCAAATCATAATTCTAATTACTATATTTGAATGAAAACTGTAAAAATTGTAAATGATTACAATTAAGATTTATCAATAGATATCTTGCACCATTTGTTATGCTATAATTAATTAAAAGTAGTTTCATCAATGTACTTAAAAACAGCTCTAAATGGAAGTTCATTTTGATGAAGTAAACTGCCAATGGTGTGAAACTTTCTTTGTCTTTTTAATTTTTTTTTTTTCTCCAGAGCTGTAACAAGGGCTGCTTCATAATCAGTTTGTATTGGTATTGTTCATAAGAACTGCCTTAATGGAATTAACACTGTTGAATTCTTCTAAAACAGCAACATTTTCTGCTAGAACACCAGTTGCACCAATGTTAGTGTTAACTTTGTGGGTGAGATATTTATTTTCCATATCCATCTCTGGTGAAAGTCAAGTGGCACTCTGGTTCACTGGTCTTTATTATTTTTTTTTTTGCTGTTTTCCTTTACAATCTTTTTGTATTGCAAAGTGTTTTTAACTCTGCAATTAACACCAATGCAGATATTTTCATGATTCTGTACATACATCTGATGGGTGCTTACTTTTATTCTAGCTTTTTTCCCTGTCTATTTTTGATAATGTCATTTAAGTTAAGGCTTGGATGAAGAAAGCCCATATCTCGTCAGTCTAATAAAGACATTAGCAAGCCATGCTCTAAGGTTGGAAGATGCATCAACCTTAATAAGTTCCATGGCATATCTAGAGACTGTAAATTCTTGTAGACTCTCTGAATCAAAACTGTCTTTGGTTGTTTCTTCACTGGAAGACATTGGGGGAAAATATTCAATATAAAGGCAACATGTGCAGAATCCTGTTATTGCTATGTTTCAATATACCTGTCTAATCTATCTGCTTCAGTCACACATTTTTGATATTTTTTACCAGCATCTTTGTCAATAGTTCCAAGTTGAAACTGCCCTTTAGTCTTGTTTTCTCTCTGAGTGTTTAAATATTCCCTTTCTTCAATTTGAACTGGAAATTTCAAAATGTGTACAAGTTTAAAAACAGATCTAGCATACATGATAAATATGAAGGAAAATATCACAATATTATTTACCATAGAAGGGAAGATTATCAGAAGTAAATTTGTTTTTCAATTAATTTTAAATTTTGAAAATCGGTATATGAACTAGTTCAAATTAAACAAAGAAAAAGAAACCTAGAATTAACATTAACTTCTTGTAAGGAGGACAAGTGAAAACATTATTCTATTTTAATAAAATTTCAAAAATAAATTTGAAATAAGAAAAATGAAATGAAACAATATTATTTACCTAAATGGAAATATAGTTTCTCCCATTGAAATAAACAAACATGTTTTAAATAAACACCAGTTACTGAGAAAATACAAAATTATAGACATTAAACAAAATGCTTACACTTTATTTTATTTTTTTTTTGTCAAATAATTAAATCTGTTATATAAAAATACAAAAACTAATTTTTCAGTGACAAATGAAATGTTTGTAATGGTGAGAACTTGGATAATACCCATCGAAAAAAAAAAAAAGGTTCTGGTACAAGATTCATAAACAATACAGGGTGCAATGGATAAATTGTTGTATAAATTATGAAAAAATGAAAATAATACTGACATCTCATTTTAACAGATGTTTACTAAAATTATACAAAACTATATTCAAATACTAAAGAGTAAGTTTATTCAGTAAAATCGCCATTGGAGAGTCTACTTTTTTAATGAATGCTTGAATGTTGTCATAATCCTTGCCTTCAGTTCATCTTCGATTTTACAAGGAATTTTGTTGGTCCCTCACTCAACTGCACCCCACATATAATAATCAAGAGGGTTAGTCTGGGGAATTAGGTGACCAGATGTAAGGGCTGATGTGGTCACAGAAATTGTCTGACAGCTATGACTGGGGTCTCCTGCTTGTATGGTGCAGAGTACTGTTGCCAGATATAGGGTCTTCCAGCTGCCATCCTCTTTACCCAGGGCAGCACTACCTCCTTAAGGGACTTGCTGTAGACCTCTGTTGAGTCTGAGGCTCTGTGGAAAGATGAATGGAGGCATGACATTGCCATCACTAGTGATCACTCCAAAAACCTTCATAATCACTATTAGACTCTTCCAACTCTTTCCAAATCCTCTGCACTGCCCTCGGATTGACACCCAATCATTCTGAAATGTTCATATTGGAGCTTCTGGCACAAATGCCAAGCAGTACTGCATTATGTTTCCAAATTTCTGGTGGTGCTCTTTTTCTTATAGGCAGTGCCCAACTGACCTGATTGTACTGTGCAGTCAATAAAATAGAAAATAAACAATGTATATCCACAAAATGAAAAATATAAAATGGCATCAAATTACCCATTGCATCCTGTATATTTATTTTGCTATTGTTGATTTTGAATTTTTTTTTTTTTTTTTTTTTTTTGCCTAATTTTTAACACAACCTAAATTCTACATAAGAAAAAAAAGGGAATCTGTTTTCATCACTGGCCACAACTTATTGTATTTAATCTCTATTTTGCCTTTATAAAGTGAATATTTTTATGTTATTCATAATTCTGATTTATTTTTCTTTGATTTATTGAGTATGAGTAAATGCTGCAATTAGAAAACATTTTATTAAATGGCATTTACACATTTGTTTTCCATAAGGATACGGAAGTTTTTGACAGTGTTAAATTGTTCACTGATCATTAGACTGAAATTCCAACACTTCAGTTTCAAATCTAAACTTAATTCCTCAAAAAATGGTAGTTATTTGGAAAAAAAATGTTTTACATCAAATCCCAACTTTCAAATTGAATGTAACACCATGGTTCCAAAATCAACCTGCCCTATTGACAATGAATTTCTAAGTATTGTATTTTTTTGTTTTTTTTACAAATTAAAAATTGCATATTTTCATAAGATTTTCCAAAATTAGATGCATCTATGACAAGATATTCGTATTACAGAAAAAAATGAGATGTTTTGTTGAATTTCTCATCACAAATTTAGTAAAGTTTCATGTACAATTGATACTTTTTGTGTCAAGTTCAGGATGGTATACTTTTGATCTGTTTTTGCTCTACTGTCAAATTGTGCTTCTAGCTGTTTTTATGTGGTGTAATTTTTTTTTCTTTTTTTCATTGATGTACTAATCAAAAAAAATTTTCTTTATAAATCCTAGTAAGAGGTTGCAAGTCATTAACTGTTGAAATGAAACTTAGAGGAACAATCAGAATTGGCTTCTTGTGTCTAATTTTCATTTTTTAAAACACAATTTTCCCCAATGTTGAGGCTGAGCTGATCTAATATTGATTCCATTAGTATTATTTCTTTTACTCTAGGACTATATGGCATTACATTTATAATAATTTTACACTTGTTTGAGGCCTGCACTGTTAAATTTGGCTTCTGACTCAATAACACACCAGACAACCGAATTTGAATGGTTGTAACATGGTTGTTAATTGAGCTACCAAGATAAATTTGGTACCATTTTTTTATTTTTTGTCAAATTCTCTACTTGTATTAAGTTTTTAGATATATTGAAAATGAAATTTTATTTTGGAAAACCTACTTCTATTGGATTCTGTTTTCTTTATAATCATTATATCCAGGCTTTGTGCTAACCAGTCTTCTAATCTGTTTACATTTTTGTCGGCCAGATATTGAGTTATGTTATGTTGAAAAAATTTTGTCATCATTCAAATTAGGAATTGGGTGTTCCTTCAGTAATTGTTTATTTTAATGATTTTATCAATTTTCTAGAACCATGATTGAGATATATAGGAATGGATAAGAAAAAATCTACATACAGATAAATATTTGCATGTATGTAAGTATATTTATTCCTAAGGTGTTATAAATACAGTGCTCAATGTTATGAAACAGAACTATAAGTATATATTAGTGAATATACATAATATCCAATGGCGATAACACTACTCGGTTTCATGCAATTAATGCAATCTTCACGTGTGAATTCTGACTGTTATCTGTCACGTTCTCATGATGGTGATTCAAAATTGGGTGTACAAACTTGTCTGTTTAAAATATAGAATTAACTATTAATAATTTATATTGTTCAAATTCATAAGTTTGAAAGTTTGTATTGAACACTTCATCTGTTCTTTCTCTCATTTGGAGATTATATATATATATATATATATATATATATATATATATATATATATATAAAAAATCCAAATGAGAGAAAGAACAGATGAAGTGTTCAAAACAATTTCAATTTTGTCTAGCTGAAGTCAAGAATGAAAATGACGTACTATTAAAGATTTTTCTTGCTTTGAAATAGATACAAGACCAACTCCTGGAATCACCATTGATTTTTATATATATATATATATATATATATATATATATATATAACAATTGTATTTGTAGACATGTGCATCTTTTTCTTTTCTGTAAACTATATTTAAATAGTTCATATTTTCTGATTTGAAATCACATTTTACCTAATGTCACCAACACAGCATTGGGGATGAAAACTTGAACACGTTTGTTTCAATAAAGTTAACAACACTTGATATCAGTTCTCAGGACTTAGTAGCCAAATCAAAGAGTATTTGGCTAAAAAAATTGATCAAAAGTGAATGGACATTAAGTTAACATTTCAAAATGTTCTTTATTTCTTAATTTGAAAGTATTTTTTATCTTTTTGTACAGTAAAAACACTACTGGCATGGGTGCAAGTGTAGAAGAGCTCCAACAGAATCTTAAGGAATTGGACTTGGACGAAAAACAACGTAAAAGACTGGAAGAATTCTTAACAAAGAAGCAGCAAGCTGGAGAGTTGAATGTTGATGACTTTGACAAAATTGGTGAACTTGGTTCTGGTAATGGAGGCGTGGTTCTCAAAGTGCGACACAAACCTACAAATTTAATGATGGCAAGAAAGGTAATTTTTTTTTCCTTTTCTTTTTAAAGTAAATTTTTTTCTTCAAATGTTGGTGAAAATGCTGCAGTCCTTGAACAAGTTCAAGAAGACTTCCCCCTTCCTTCTACCACATGCTTTCATGCTATCTCTAAGTCTCTATTGAATTTTTTTTTTTTTTTTTTTTCTTCCTGTCTTGTTGGTGGGGAGAATCAAGTTTGTGCACAACTCCAAATATGGCATATGCAAACCCTGACAAATAACTATAGAGAGACACTAAACTACACAGATGAAACTGTAGAAACATTGATATTTATCTGTTCTCGTATAAAGGATTTTTTTCCCGTTAATCATTTGTTTCAAAAAAATAAATATAACTTGCCACAAGAAATTTCTGTGCCCAATCATAGAGCCTGGACTAATTCAAGCCTAATGTTTGTTTTTTAATATTATATCACCTTTCCTTTAAGATATGTTTACTTACATTGTTTTGATTGTTAGATTATACTTAACTTTCAAGTTTACACATTTAGAGTAATTTGCAAAGATAGTGTGTGAAAATTCTGATAAATTCAGTTTTTTTATTTTCAGTGTATGCATAACGGATTCATGTGATACTGGAATTGTGTGTGGTAGCACAGATTCATGTTCAAAGTCTGTAAGGATGAATTGGATGTTAATGATAATTTAGTTTTCATTTTATTAAATAGAAATAAAATAAAGAGAGGTATTAAAACTTGGAATGAATTCCCCAAATACAATGTAATGTTCTTCCAATGTTTTTTTTTATGGATTTCATTAGCAGAATGAGTCAATATCATAATTGCAAAATTAACATGAATCAGAATTTTTGAGGAAACAAAAATATTAAGAAGTCTAGAATTGGTAGCTTTGAGAGACAGTTAATGAAACTTGTTGGGTTTTATTTACCAAATACTAGTTTTCAAATGTTGTGCTACCCTTTTGCTACTTATAGGGGCTGAAGATGATATTTCTCAATTTTTTTCTGTGTGGTTGGCTGTCCAAAAAATCTGATAATATCTCCTTTTATGCCCTGTAAAATTCTAAATGGATATTTAGATTCTTTGACTAAGAATCTATAAGGGTATCAAATTTCATTAATTTCTGGCTAATGATCAGAAGCTATAAGGTTTTTTGTGAGATTGTTAGATTAAAAAATGCTGATTCAGCAAAATTTCAACTTGAAAATGGTTAGGAATTTTCACTTAAATTTTAAGGATTTTCTAATGACTATAAGATCTACAACATACATCAAAATAAAAAAAAAATCTATTTTGGGTTTTTTTTTTTTTTTTTTTCTGTCCACTGGAACTCTTATATTCAGGGTCTAAAAGAACCCGAGATCCACTGCTTGTATTTTACTCCTGTTATTATCCTCGGACTTCTATAGGAATGCTACTGCTTTTTTTTTCTGCAATGGGGAACTCTGGAGAGGGAGTGCAAAAGCAAATTTTCTAGCCAATGATAGCAGAAAAAGCTGTTATGGCCTCCTTTTTACATGGCTGAAGTGAAAGGGTCTTTTTCTTCAGGCAAAGTAGCAAAGAGGTGACCAGACTCACTACAGTACCAACATGTTACTTTCCTACCCGGGACAATGACCAACTTATTCTAACATTTGACATCCAAATAGTTGAGAGCTTTTTGGCATGCAGTTAAGACTTATCACTCCAATTTTTCCAAACTGGAGAAAATATGCAGCCAAATGTCTCTAAAATATAGCTAGGCTATTGAAACTTTAATCCTATGCTGACCTTGATATTCAACATTTAAATATACCCTCTAGCCTGGTACCTTTTTTTTTTGTCAAGGCCAAACAATCTTTAGCAATAGCTAACAGTATGTCCCACATAGGAAAGGCTCTAATTTTTTACATCCTGTAAGGCCTTAATCTTCAAACTTTTTTTTTTTTTTTTTTTTTTTTATAACAATGATCCTCAGTTTTTGTAGATCAACCAGCAACTTTAACAAGATGTGTACACTGCTTGACTTGTTGCACAAATTACAAAGGATGGAGTTTCACCAACTGTTAAGAGTCCTGTTCATTATTTTTTTAGTCATTTCTTCCATATCTCTTGCACATTGTTTTCTTCTTTTTTTTTGTTCCCCCAATCTCTTTACTTTTTTTCCTATTTTTCTCTTTCTTCTGAACTATATTTATTTTTTCTTATGTGGTGTGGGAGTGTCTAGAACAAGGGTTGGCAACCTACGGCCCACGGAGGCATTTTGACCGGCCTGCGAGCCTGATCTATTTTTAACATGAGAGACGAGGTTTTCGAATTAGACTATCTGCCAGTTATCTTTCATGAGACTTATTTTACCAAGTTGCATTGCCTACGTTTAATGTCAAATAATGGATACATATTTGTTATGACCCTTGGCTACATTAAAAGATAACAGAAGCGAAAAGAACGATAAAGTGAGAGGCCTGGGAGGGACTGACATGTGAGTTAGCAGAAATATAAAGACAGTTAAATATACGTGCATTATACATACATGCCTCATGAATGTGTGGATGATACCGCATGTGTACGTACGTAAGTGTATATGTTTGTAACTATTTGTACTCGTATGTATGGGTATATGTACTTCGTTTTTGTTTGTGTGTGGTTCGTTTGTGGAACAATTTTCAATAAGTTTCAAACCTACACGTCATAATTTCATCCATTTCACTTCAGATGATTTTTTTCACTTTGAAGTATTTTGACATTCCTTGAGGAAAAGTAATTTTTGTTAGGTGTTTTTTCTTTTTTTTTTTTTTAATTTTTCATTAATGGCCTTCGTCCAGCCCGCGACCTGTCATAACACTATCCAGCCCGCGGGGTCGAATGGGTTGCCGACCCCTGGTCTAGAACATAGCTTTGATGACTTCAAAATTTTGGGGTCATTCTATAGTTCATTCCATTTTAACATTCTAATTTATTATTCAATTTTAACAGATCATTTATTGTAGCACTGTTGAAGGAAGCATTCAAATTACAACCAGCAAAGGTAGTAATTGGTTTGTTAGTAGCTAACCAATTTAATGATCTATAGCATTTCTTCTCTGATTTTGACATGGTCAGTTGTCATCCCAGGTTTTCTAAATGACTTATTGGCAACTGATTACAACAGGTGGTAAGGATGACACATTGTTAAAGTTGATCCACTGTCATTTGTAGAAATAATGCTGCTCAAATACCTTAAAAGATATTGATGCAGCACTTCCTATTAAAATGTTTCACAACTTATCAGTAATACTTTTCAAACACTTATACCAACCCTGAAAAAAAAACATCTACATAAATATTTCTTCAAACTTGCCATTGGTTGTTACCTAACCCGAAAAGGGACATTTCTGACTTTTATGTACCATGCTCTATCATATAAAACAAATTTTTATATAGTTTCCACAAGTTCCCATTAAAATTTCAGGTGGGAGTTAGAGGTAAATCTGTTGCCTTGTAAATATGCTGCTTTTGCACCTAGAGTGTTACATATCTACCAGAGGAAGTTCTATATGGACTAAATTCATTGTGGGATACTTGTATCTACCACAAACTCTTGTTACGATCTTGGCTTTTGTTATAACTATGGTCTTTCACTAATATTGTATTCTAACTTTGCAGTTGTCACTTCATTTCTTCATTGGGTGCCACTTTCCAAAAGCTAAATTTAAAGAAATCAACCAACTTTGTCATTGGAATTCTATTTAAAATAATGACTAAAATTAATCTTATCAGAAATATATATTCATCAATATCAACTTATTCCTAGAAAACTATTGAACCATCATTTTATTTTCCTTCAACATTGCCTTCCATTTTAACTTGAACTAGATTATTGTTGAGGTCATCAGTTTTATTTATCGATTTTGTTATTAATACTACCACAAGCTTATTCTACATTGTCTTAATCTTCAACAGCAGAGAATAATGGTTGCTACTACTATCTTTGTTGTCCTTGATCATGTATTTTTGAATTGCTCTCTTTATATTTAATGTCTTTGTCAGACAACATAAATGAATGCTAAGGTAGATGTCACCATGCCATATCATATGCTTCCATTGTAATACCTGACCTATGCTCTTGTTTATTGTCAGTTTTATAAAATACTTCACTATTGGAATAATCTTTATTATGAGGACAAATATTATTCCTGATGGCTCTCTTGGTTTTGTCAAATTAAATTTTAAGAAATTCCTCTTTTGCCAGATGCATTTAAATTATTTGCAACTGTAATTGAAGTTGTTGACTTGTTCTAGAGCAAGAGGGTCACCTTGGAAGTTGTTAGGATGGCAGGATTGAAGCCAAACACACTGATTTGGAGAAAAGCCAGAGTAGTTACTGAAAAGATTACAGGTAAAACTGACCAGGCTAAAGTAACTTTCTGATCATGTCTGAAATTATTTTATCAATAATTATTATTTCCAGTAACTGCATTTCAATCTCTCACAAGCACCATTACTCTGTGCTGCCGTAGTCATGGTTACTGAATGTCTCTCCATTATCTGACAAGTTACTCTGAAACACTAAATATAGTTTCAACAAAATTTTATCATTTAAATACAGTTTTATAGTTTTTATAGTATTTTAGTTTTCTAATTTAAACATTTAATAATTGTAGATAGCACTGTTGCATCACAGCTTTGTCGTTCAATTTACAATAATTGAAAGTTGCACTTATTTCATATTTTTAGACTTGTTTCATTGAATTTTGACACTGGAAAGAGACATAGCAGATTTAGGAGGAAATTTATTGAACTTTACATAAGCCCCACCTTACTTACAATAGCTTCAATTTTTTTGTTTAATAAGCAACTCTTTCAATCAAAATCTATTCTGAGGAACCAATTATTAGTATTTTAGTTCAGATAGAAATCCTTACCTCAGATGGTTGCATCTTATCGTGCTAGAGGGGCTTGGATGGTACGACTCTGAGCGCAAGGCTGTCGGGTGTTCTAAAGTCCTGGTAGGTCCACCCTTGACAGCAAAGTTTAAGACAAGGACCCAGACTAAACACAACC